CTGTCTACTTGGAAGAGATAAAACTCCCCTACTTATACAAAGGACAGACAACATATCTTAGTTAACTTGTTGGGTTTAACAAATATCCAGGAAGTATCCCAGGAGCACTAATATGAGAGAAAACAACTTTTCTTTTAAAATAACTTTAAGCTAGTTCAGGCATTTTCAGTCATGTTTGACTCTTTGTGACCTCATTTGGGATTTTTTTGGCAAAGCTACCTCAGAGGAAAAACTAAATTCCTGAGCTCAACTCAAGGACATAGAAATGTGGCTAAAGGCCCGTGCAGACTCAATTATAAAAATCAATACAGCATAAAATCAATTACATTGTAGAATCAATACAGTAGAAATCCATGTAGTAGAAACTAGAGGGAATATTAATTTTATCTTTTCAGCTCCTAAATAGGCCTCTAGTCTCAGACTTAATATGAAGGGTAAATAAGCATCTCTTTTGAGATCTGGGAAGAAATTACTTTTATCAATTTAATGGAATTGTAGGGTGACCAGTCACTGGATGGCTGAAGGCTCAAGAATGCTTCCAGGTGAACTTAAAAAGGAAATTGCCTAACTCTTGGATAAGAAGAAGAAAAATAGGAAGAATACTATTTATCAAGTGCTTTAAGTTTTACAAAGTGCTTTGCATGGGTCATCTCATTTTATCCTCATCAAAACCTTGGGAGATAAGTGTCATTATTATCCCCATTTTACCGAAGAGTGGTAACCTTAGGCAGAGGTTAAGTGACTTACTCATAGTCCCACAACTAGGCTGGATTGAAACATAGGTCTTCCTAATTCCAGGTCCATCATTCTATATGCTATATCATTAACCTTCCTAGGTTGAGAGATATTTATCTCAGGCATTACAGAAAGAACTCAGATATGGAAGAAAAACTTAGTTCATAAGAGGGAATCATTCTTCACTTTTCCCCTTATGTTTTTTTTTCTCCTACCTTCTATAGATCATCACCCTTCCTAACTTTTCTGTAGCATGTGATAGTGTTGACCATCCTAGAATCTCCAGATTTTCATGATTGCTTGCTCTCACCTCTGTGACCACTCCTTAGTTGGCTTGGCTGGATCTTCATACACATAATGCCTGCTCCTTGTGAGTGTTCCTTTAGCCTCTGTCCTGAGTCCTCTTCCCTTTTATCTTCTATTCTCTATCATTTGGTATCATGGTATCATTGATCTTTTCTGTACAGAAGGCTCCCTATCCACAGATCCAGTTCTTGTCTTTTTCTTGACCTCCAGCCTTGCATCACGAACTGCCTATTATATATTTTCAACTGAATGTCCCACATACATCTCAAACTCAGTGTGTCCAAAACAGAATTCATTACATATTTTTTCCCTGAAATCCTCTCTTATTTTAAACTTCTTTATTTCTGTCAAGGACACTACCATCCTTCCAGGCACCCACACTCATAACCTCAGTATCATCTCAACTCTTCATGTACATATATCTCATATAACCAATTGGTTGTCAAATCTTGTTAACTTTTCACCTTCACAAATTCTCCTGTTTATATCCCCTTCTATTTAATCACCTGTCCACCACCTTACTCCAGTGTTTCATCAGCTCTTGCAATAATATCCTAATTTGTCAATTTCTCCCCTATTCCAATCCATCCTCAATACATCTGCAAAGTAATTTTATTAAATTGCGGGACTGAACATGTTATCACCTATTCAATAAACACTAGTAATTCTATTTTCCAGTATAAAATATGAACTATTTGTCATTTAAAGTTCATCACAACTCATACCATTCATAACTTTCTAGGTTTGTTCCATATTACTTTCTTCCCCACGCTCTATGATCCAGACAAACTTCCCCTATTGCTTTTCCTCACACAGAATTCTACATGTCCCACTTCCTTGCCTTGGCATGAACTTTGCTCCAAGCCTAGAAGGCTCTCTCTCTCCATGCCACCACCTTTTGGAATCCCTGGTTTCCTTCAAGACTCAGTTCAAGTACCATAGTTGCATAAATCCTTTCTTGGTTTCTATGTTGTATTTGATGTGTATAGCTCTTCATATACTTAAATATGTGCATGATTTTTTTCATCATCAGAATGTAAACTCCTTGAGGATAGGGGATGCTTCATTTTCATTGTTGGATCCACAAGTGCATAGCACGATCTTTAGGACATAGTGGTGGTTTAATGTATCTCTACTGACTGATTGCTTCCACAGCACAGGGAGGAGAGGGGATTTACCCTTAATCCTAGTAGCAGAGAAACCTGCCTACTAGGAGATGCTCACACCCAGTTGAAAGCAGGGGCTGAGAGCCCATGCCCATTGTTATATGCAAAGGAGTGGTTCCATGAAGCCTAGTGAAGCAACTTACCCAAGAAAGAACCTGCAGTCAAAAAAACATGAAAAGAGAAAAGACATTTAGGCTGGAAAAGTGCTGAAAGTGTGGATCACCTTGGCCACATGTATTTCCTTTATGATTATGTCTTTACCAGAATAATCTGTGTGTGTGTTGAGGGAATGTGTAGGGATGTAGGGGTGGGCCTGTTCTCTCTTCTCATTTATACTGTATTGTGAGGGGAGGAGGAATGTTTTATTATTATGGTTTATCCTTTGCCATTTTAGTAAATATGTTTTATTTTTTATTTTTTTATTATTATTTAATATGTTTTGTTCCCTCTGACTTAATATTAAAAGTGTATATACACTGGTAGGGGCTTATGACCTATTTTTAGAAGTATATACTCATAAAGTACCTCAAATGTGCAATAGTCATCTCACAGGGGACCCTACCTATAGGTACAAGTTCAGAGGAGACACTACATATACCAGTGTTTTGTTGTCATGCACTTTCTCAATCCACAGATACTAATATTACAACTACTTAGACATAATGGTCTCTTCCAACCCCTTTATTTTACTGATAAGGGAATTGATAAGCCAAAGGAATAAGTGACTTCTCTAAGGTAACGTGGATAGTAAATATAAGAGCCTGGATTCAATCTCAGGTACTCAAAAGTTCATATTCATACCACTTTTAACACTGTCTGTTTGAGTTTCTAGCTACAGATGATTTCCACACCTTATGAGAATTTAATGTTAAGCCTTCTATCTACAGTAATAATGCCCCTGACCCAGTTTTAGAAGGGAAAGTATTTTCAAAATGGTTTTCCAGGAACAGGTAAGGAAGGGTTTATGATAACCCACACCTGTAATATTTCCCAAATATTTGGGTGCCCAGTTGCCAGTGTCTAAATTAAGGGTGCTGCCCAGGTGACAGGGCAAAGGTTGTTGTGCCAGATTGAGTGTTTTTTTTTCCTTTAGTTGGGGGAGAGTAACTTACATTTTTGCCTCCTTTTAAATACCACCTTCAAGTAAGGTAAAAGGAATTCCATAAACACTAAGAAGGAAGAATCCTGGATTATGAATATGATCTAATGATACCCCAAGACCAATCAATTGCAGAAATCTCTGTAAGAAGCATTGCATTTTCCATGTTACAAATCTGTCCCACGTGTGCACACAGGGAACCTGGACTCCCCAGGAGCCATAGCCAGTTCTTAGCAAGAAACTGATATTCAGCAAGATGAAGGAAGAGCTGAGATAGTAAAGACCTTGCTTCTTTTAGAGTATGTCCCATTTCACAAGGTTTGATTGCAACTGACCCTGCACATAAGCCCAAGCAAGCTGAGCTTACCTTTGAGGGAAGGCCAAGAAGAACTTTTTACACTGTTCACTGCTCTGCTTTTTGCAATCATTCTTCTATGTCTCTGCTATTAGTGAATGAGCTTGTTACCTAGCACACTAATTGTTTAATAATGTCTTTTATGTACCATCTATGTCGGAGAGGACCTCAGCTTTCTGTGACCTATTTGAAAGGCAGCATAGTACAATAGAAACAATACTGGATTTGAAATCACACAAGATGAGTTCAAAACCTAGCTCTGATACTTACTAACTGTGTGACCTTTGGCAAGACACTTAAAAATGTGAGCCTCAGTTTCCTTATCTATATGGACCAGATGATCTCTTTCTTATCTAAAATTTATGGTCCTAAAGTGCATCTTCAAATCAAGAAGGGGAAAATTCAGTCTGACAGACTGAAGGGAATTCTTCTAGATGAGAATAAAGTTCTCAGTTGGGATATAATTGGCACAGGACTTTCGTAAAGATTTAGCTTTAAGGTTTCCTAAGGACAGGAATGTTTTGATGAATTAGGAAATGGAGAATTGGGAAAATGGGAGAAAAAACTCTAGCGTTTGTTGCTATTTTCATTTTTTTTCCTATTGCTTTGGCCTAGTAATTAATAAACCACCCCTAATCAAGTGGATTAACATTGCTCAAGTTCTTCAGAAACCTTAAAATACTGTATCTAATGGTAGCTATACAGTAATCTGTACTGGAATTCCTTCGTTGTTGTTACCATTAATATTAATTAGTTCTATCGCCATCATGAACATAATAAAGAGTTTACTGGCCATTACAAGAACAACTACATTGGATCTAAAGCGGGCAACTGTCAATAGTTGGATTTAATACAAACAGAAACAACTGTAATTAGAAGACAATAATTCTCAAAGAGAAGAATTGAGTTCAAAGCCCCCCTCATATACTAACTAGGCAATCCAGAGCAAGTCACTTAATCTCTATGTGCCTCAGTTTCCAGTAAAATAAGGGTCTTGAAATCAGATAATCACTAAAGTTTCTTCAACCTGTGATAATTTATGCATGTAACTCTTCCTTTTGAGTTAATATTCTGTCTATTACCACTATGTGAAAGTGGGAGAGAGAAAGTGACAAAGAAAGAAAAGATGGAAAGGAGGAGGGAAGGAAAAGAGGGTAGAAAGATAGAGAAGGAAGGAAAAGGAAGGAAGGAAAGAAAGGACAATGGATAGAAACCTAAGCATCACATGGCACCATCAGCTTGGCATTTCATTTTCTTGTTATTGTCTCATAAAACATGGAGTCTTAAAGATAGGATCTATAAATTTCAATTTGATCAGAAGCAGACTAGTTGTCCTTACTGTAGTCACTGTTCTCATCCTTGGTACCATCGATGGTTCCATCTGGGTGCATCTGCAGGAAATATCCCTGCTGGCTGAATAACCTGGTCACAATTCCTTTCAGCTGGGGTTCTGCAAAACAAAATCAAATAGTTATTCATTCTTTTTAATTAAAAAAAATAGGTGATGAAACATGTCCACAAGTTGTCAAAAGGGATTCTGGGTAAATTATACATCCTTTAAGCAACCTGCCCACAGCACAATTTGTATGTATTAAGGAGAAAGAGTATCTAAATAATATTTTGTGCTTTTTTTTTCCTTTAGAGGGAAAATCACAGTACTTTGTGACCATCAACAAAATGTAAATAAATGAAAGCTAATCTAAAAGAATTTAAAGGAAATTAAAAAAAAAAAAGATTCTCTCTGGCCTGTCCCTTATGTTTCAGCTTGAAGACAACTCGATTTCAATCACGGAATGGGATGGAATTCTCAAGGTATCTCTCCCCACCCACCTTGCCCCCCATGATTTGCTTACATGGTGCACCTAACGTTGTGTCTGACCCTAGGCATTTCATAAACACTCTTTGATAGCTGATCAGGTGTGTGTGAACAGGATCTAGGTCAGTTCTGTTAGAGTCTTATGCCAACACAATATCAGCACAGAGTGCTCTCAATGATGAAAAAAGAGGCCACAAACTGATAGCATTGCCAACTGAGACATGCGATGTGCTTCAGATGCAAATGATGAACCTTTGGAAATAGGATCCTAGCACTGAGGCAAATTTTGTTTAATTTTAATGATTGATAGCATTTTTTTTTGTGTTACCAGAACCAAACAACACACCAAACACAAGACAAGTTCTTAATAAATGCTGGTTTGTTGAAGGATAAAAATAAATTTCCCTCCTTTATATGGAGAGCTGAGTCAGATAAGGTTATGGGTTGATTGGCTTTACTTAATTCTTTTCTTTTTAGAAGGGAAGGTTCAGCATTGACAGGAAAAACAGGAGACATCAATGGTACAACAAGAAAGTATTGATCAAATTTCAAATGATGGTGATGAAAAGGAGGAGAATGAAAGTGAAACATACACACCCTTCTGAAAAAATACAATGGATATGCCTGCCCTGTCCATCAAAAAAAAAAAAGACTCAGAAAGAAGGAAATAATTGAAATAATGTCTTCCCCAGAATAAAAAAGTAACTTGAAAAATATCATTTCCTCTAGAGAGTCCATACTAAATTATTCACCATCCAAGCTCTGTTATTTCACTATGGCTATGAAAACAAAAATCTAGGGATGAGGAAGGAGACCGAAAGAAATCTCTGAAGCCACTGTAGGGTAAGAGCACTAGTTTGCCTCCTAGAGTGTGGGTGGTAGAGAAAACCACTCCACTGGCCTGTTCCCCCAACCCCAACTATAAGCCCAATTTCCTCCTTTAGTGCCCAAACTCAGGGACATAGAGAAGGAGCCCCGAACTTCGGTGATCATTCTGGTGGTCTTGATCTACTAGAGGGTAAGCCATGTCAACCATGCTGATGACTTTGGGAGGAATTAGAAAAAGAAGTTGATATACTAATCTACAATCTTCCAAGTCACGAGAAGTACCAGACTTAGCAGAGCCAAACATAGAACTTAACATCTTCTAACTCCCAACAAATATGAGTTCTGCTGGGAAATTCTGTCACTAATGTCAAAATCCTGTAGTTTCTTGGGCAGGGGAAGTTAATCCATCCAAACAAAATGAAACTATATTCTAATTGCTGATAGAAGTGCCTCAGGCTTGGCGAGGACAGTGATTAGTCACAAGCCACCCATGCCTAACTGTCGTACGGTTGGGGCTTGGTCATGGTCTAGTACCTGAAGGGCAACTGAACCCAAATCTTCCCATGCAAAGGTCAGAATCTGGCTACTCTGCTTCCTGTCATGCCACTTACAGTCTTGAAAGAATTACAATAAAAGATGAAAATTGAGGTTAGTTGATTAAAAATGGAACTCAGTGGATGAAATTATTACTTCCCCCTCCTCCAAAGGTCTCTATTTTTATTGAAATTACTATACCTCCAAACCATTTCTTTCTAATTCTATTCCCATAATATCTTTCAAATGTCCCCCTTCTCTCTACTAATTCCTTCCCACTCTAATCGAAGCTCTCATCACTGCTCCAATGGAGTGTTACAATAACCTTCTAGTTGATCTTCGGCTGCTTGGGCTTTACCCTCTCCAAACCATCAAAACAGAAGCAAAATGAGATTACTAAAGGACAGTCCCCAGTCCCCTGTTCCAAAGCTTCCTTCTTATCTGTAGGTTAAAATATCTGTGCTCTAAGGCTGGTGTCTCAGGTCTTTGGTGACTTGGCTCCAGCTTCCTCTTTCTTTTGCTATATTACTCCACATGTAATACATTCCCAGTCCCAGGCAAACCAAATTACAATTTGATCTCTGATCTATGCATTTATCTCCTACTTCAGTTCATTTGCACAAGCCAAGTTCCATGCATGGAATACACTCTCTCATCTTCTTCCCTTCATCAAAAGTTCAATTTACATATGACACTCCTGTAGGTATTTGCACTGTCTCTCTTTCTTCAAAATCCTATGTAGTTATTTATTTATATACCAATGAGGTATTCCCCAATTGGATGGTAATCTCCTTGACAGCAGGGCCTGATGTGACTTTGTCCTTATATTCTCAGCCCAAACCCATGTCTTGTCAGCTGTAGGCTCTTCATATATGTCTGTAGAATTGAAAGTTTTGCTGTAATGATCTTTTCCCCTCTCATTTAGAAAACTTCTCAAGAGAACCCATTTCCACTGGTTTTCTGTACACATGCAGGGAGCTAGATAAGTGGGGCATAGCACAGACTTTCCCTCTATTTCAAAGAAAATATGTTCCTTGGGGGGTGACATTAGGGGAAACCAATGAGGTCAACTTATGGGGGAACATGAAGAAGTTTCCCAGCCCGGGAAGGTGGGGGGGCAAATAGGCAGTGATTAGCACCACTGGAAGGAACTTGCACATCAAGGAGGTCACAGCTGCATCATAATCTGTGGTCTCCCTGTGATATGAGAGAATTATACAGTGTCTACAAATGCTGTTTGCTTTTTGCCACGTTCACTATATTCATTAAAATAACATTCCTGTCATGGGACACTCTGCTAGAGTGCTCTGGGAATTGGAGCTGGTAACTCCCGTTAATGCTAACAAGAGGTGAGCTCCTGGGTCCCCTGAGCACCAGAGTTAGAAGAGCCCCCAAAGTCAATGTGAGTTGATCCAAGATTTTAAAGGCAGTGTTCTGTGCAAGTTAAGAAGGAGAGAAGGATCCTGAGCAAATGGTCTCTTGTGTGTTTGTTCCTGTGATCAGGTATGTAGAGGTAACCTTTACATGTTTATCAACCTATAAACACTTGCTACTATGTGCCAGGCACTGTGCCATTCACTATGGATGCAAAAAGATACAAAAGACAGGCCCTGCCCTCAAGGAGATCACAATCTAAGGGGGAGTAAACATTCAAACAAATCTATACAGTATGAACAAGTTACAGACAGGATAAAAGGGAAATAATCAAGAAAGGGAATTAAGAGGGGCTGGAAAAGTCTTCCTGTGGGAGTCTGGATTTTAGTTGGGACTGAAATAAAGGGAAGCCAGAGGGCAGATATGAGAAAAAGGAGCATTCTGGGGATAGGGGCCAGCTAGAGAAAATGCCTGGAGATAAGAGATGGAATGTCTTTTCAGTGCAATAGTGAAGAGGCCTGTGTCATTCAACTGAAGAGTATGTGATGGAGACTGAGATATAATAAGGCTAGAAAAGCAGGAGGGAGGTGAGATTATGAAGGAATTTTAATGTCAAGCAGAGGATTTTGTATGTAACAATCAAGGTGATAGGGAATCACTGGAATTTGAATACAGGGTTGGGGTGGCAGGGCAGTGATGATGAGACCTGGGCTCTAGGAAAATCACTTTGGTGGCTGAATGGAGGATGTGCTGCATCAGGGAGAGACCTGAAGCAGGCCGACCCTCAGCAGCTATTGAAATAGTCTAGGCATGAGGTGATGGGGGCCTGCATCAGGGTGGGGACAGGGGCAGAGGACAGAAGGAGGCAGAGCCAGGAGATGTTGCAAAGGTGAAATCGACAGACCTTAGCAATAGATTGAATATAGTGACTGAGACAGCTAGGATGATAACTAGGTTGTGAGCCTGAAGGACTAGGAAGGTGCTGTTGCCCTCTACAGTAATAGGGAAGGTAAGATGGAGGTGGAGGAAAGTTTAGGGGGAAAGAAAATGAGTGCCATTTTGGACATGTTGAATTTAAGGTGTCTGATGGACATCCAGTTTGAGACATCTGAAAAGCAGTTGGAGATGCAAAATTAGAGGTCAGCAGAGAGGTTGGAGCAGGAAAGGTATATATGAGAATCACCAGGATAGAAAGGTTAATTAAATCTGTAGAGCTGAGAAGCTCACCAAATGAAATGGCATGGAGGGAGAAAAGGAAAGAGTCCAGGACAGAACTCTTTGGAACACCTATGATGAACATGAGTGCCATGCATGCATGTTGTATTGTGTGTGATGATTACATGTATACATGTATATGTTTATGCCACATGTCTAGTATGTACATGGGTATATTTGGGATGTATATTATATAGTTTGTAGTCCTGTATGTGCATACAAATATATATAAAACAATTTCACAATTTAAGGCTCTAACAGAATTTGTTTCCATTCTATTCAGATATTTCTTTATAATGACTAGATTTTTTTTATTCAAAATGCTTATTGGTTAATTTATTAGTTCACAAAATTCTCAGAAAACATGCAGCCAGCTTGGTCTAGATCCCTTGATTTGTTGTAACACTGTTGAGGTCAGAGTTGGGAGAGCTGGTTCAGGTGTAAAAGAATTCACTTAGACCTTCACTGTAGCCATGGGTAATGAGTTCAGGGTAGAACCCAAGAATGTTGGGGTGCCACCTGAAATGATGAAGAATAGATGTGTGGGTCCTAGTGTCTTGAAATAATTCACTTAGTCTCCAAATTAAAGAAAGGTATTTATTGGGGTGATGTACCCAAATGGGCCTGCTCCCCTTGAGGCAGAGACACAATGGGATCTACTCTACATGGGAGGCAGAGCATAG